GTGGAAAGCAAAACCATGGATAAGGGAGGATGAGATCTTAAAGTCCAATCAGTCCACTCTCAGGTAGCCTGGCAGCAAGAGTTCAAGTGCTATGGCTGGAGGCCAGGAAAACAGCTTTCCAGCTGAACACTACAGGTTTGTCTCAGTGCTCACCATCTGCTGAACACCTCAAAAAAACCAAAACAATGAATACAACACAATGCCACAGACCAAATGTTTTTTATTTGATGTAATGCTGGCTTGCTTCCAAAGCAGTAAATCCTAATCAGTACTGATTTTCAGCTCCACCAATAGGTATTGGTTGGACATGCCCAAGTTAGTGTAGATTCACCATGACCTACTGAGTACTTTTGAGTGAAGAAAAGCTAAAAAAATTTTAAGAAAATTGGGCTGGGTAGCCGAATGCAGTGGCTCACGCCTGTAATCCCAACACTTTGGGAGGCCGAGGCGGGTGGATCATGAGGTCAGGAGATCAAGACCATCCTAACACTGTGAAACCCCGTCTCTACTAAAAATACAAAAAAATTAGCCAGGCATGGTGGCGGGCGCCTGTAGTCCCAGCTACTCAGGAGGCTGAGGCAGGAAAATGGTGTGAACCCGAGAAGGTGGAGCTTGCAGTGAGCCGAGATCGCACCACTGCATTCCAGCCTGGGGGACAGAGCAAGACTCCGTCTCAAAAAAAAAAAAAAAAAAAGAAAAGAAAAGATTGGGCTGCGAAAGAGTCAAGTAAAAAAACAACTCTTTGTAAAGCACCTTTAAATTGCTACGAGCTAATATTCATTGAGCTCTTGCTGTTAGGTATTATTATTTTTTTGAGAAGGAGTCTCACTGTCACCCAGGCTGGAGTGCAGTGGCGCGATCTCAGCTCACTGCAACTTCCGCCCCCCAGGTTCAAGTGATTCTCCTGCCTCAGCCTTCTAAGTAGCTGGGATTACAGACGTGTGCCACCACACTTGGCTAATTTTTCTACTTTTAGTAGAGATGGGGATCTCACCATGTTGGCCAGAGTGTTCTCCAACTCCTGAACTCAGGTGATCTGCCCACCTCGGCCTCCCAAAGTGCTGGGATTACAGGTGTGAGCCACTGTGCTTGGCCTAGGTATTATTATAAGCACATTTAGGTATATCTGCTCATTTAATCCTCAAAAACTAACAAACAAACAAACAAAAAACCCTATCAGCTGGGGAGTGCTTTTATCCCGTCTACAGATGAGGAAACTAACAAGACAGAAGTGAAGTGACATCGTACTCAGACACACAGCTAATAAAATAGAAAGGCTAGGCTGGGCGTGGTGGCTCATGCCTGTAGTCCCAACACTTTGGGAGGCTGAGAAGATCACCTGAGACCAGGAGACCAGCCTGGCCAACATGGTGAAACCCCGTCTTTTCTAGCAATACAAAAATTTTAGCCGGGCATGGTGGTGTGCACCTGTAGTCCCAGCTACTCAGAGGGCCAAGGCACAAGAACTGCTTGAACCCAGGAAGAGGCTGCAGTGAGCCGAGATCACACCACTGCACTCCAGCCTGAGTGACAGAGTGAGACTCTGTCTCAAAAAAAAAAAAAACGTAGGCTGAGATTTCTTTTTTTTTTTTTTTTTTGAGACGGAGTCTGGCTCTGTCGCCCAGGCTGGAGTGCAGTGGCCTGATCTCAGCTCACTGCAAGCTCCGCCTCCTGGGTTTACGCCATTCTCCTGCCTCAGCCTCCCGAGTAGCTGGGACTACAGGCGCCGCCACCACGCCCGGCTAGTTTTTTTTGTATTTTTTTAGTAGAGACGGGGTTTCACCATGTTAGCCAGGATGGTCTCGATCTCCTAACCTCGTGATCCGCCCGTCTCGGCCTCCCAAAGTGCTGGGATTACAGGCTTGAGCCACCGCGCCCTGAGTCTACCTAGAGAAACTATAACAACCACTAAGCAACATTGCTGCCCTATTTGTATACTTGTCCCGTGGAACTATGTTTCGCTTCTGCTCAAAACTCTCCTATAGTTCCCCTTTTAATCAGGGTCAAAGCCAAACGTCTTACGATGGCCTACAAGGCCCTAAGTTACTTGCTTCCCATTGCTACTCTACACCATTTCCACTGACCCACTGCATTCCAGCAACCTTGCTCTTCCTACATCACACTACACCTGCTTCGACCTCAAGGTCTGTCCTTGCTGTTCCCACTGCCTGTTATACTCTTCCCTGAGACAGTAGTGGCTTGCTCTCACATTTCCATCAGAACTCTACACAGTGTTACCTCCTTGGACTACCCTATTTAACACAGTACTCCTCACCCTTTCCACACTTAATTAAAACCACCTAGCAGTAACACCACCCTCTAAAATATAAGCTACATGACAACAGGGACATCTAGGAGTCTGGCTTGTACCATTTGTGTCTAGGACACCACCTGGCACACAGGAGATAATGCTTAAAAACTGGCCACATACGCTTTGATTCACAACCCAATTAAATAACTTCAGGCAGCAAATCATGCCTCTGTGCCAATAAAACCCAAACCAAGGCTGGGCGCGGTGGCTCACACCTGTACTCTCAGAACTTTGGGAGGCCAAGGTGGGCAGAATACGATGTCAGGAGATGGAGACCATCCTGGCTAACACGGTGAAACATCACCTCTACTAAAAACACAAAAAAATTAGCTGGGTGTGGTGGCACACGCCTGTAGTCCCAGCTACTCGGGAGGCTGAGGCAGGAGAATCACTTGAACCTGGGAGGCGGAGGTTGCAGTGAGCCAAGAGTGTGCCACTGCACTCCAGCCTGGGCGACAGCGAGACTCCAACTCAGAAAAAAAAAGAAGAAGAAGAAAAGGATATATCAAAGCAGTCTTGTAGAATCTTTATTTTTATGATTAAAAACCTGGTCTTCCTTGGGCCAGGCACGGTGGCTCACGCCTGTAATCCCATCACTTCGGTAGGCCAAGGCAGGTGGATCACGAGGTCAGGAGATCGAGCCCATCCTGGCTATTACGGTGAAACCCCGTCTCTACTAAAAATACAAAAAAAAAAAAAAATAGCAGGGCATGGTGGGTGGGCACCTGTAATCCCAGCTACTCAGTAGGCTGAGGCAGGAGAATGGTGTGAACCCGGGAGGCAGAACTTGCAGTGAGACGAGATCGCGCCACCGCACTCCAGCCTGGGGGACAGAATGAGACTCTGTCTCCAAAAAAAAAAAAAAAACAAAACCTGGTCTTCCTTAATGTATATATGTTGATATCTCCTTTAAAGGGTTAGGTTTCTTTGGAATGACTTGATGATTTTGAGAAACTATATACACCACCTAAAGAATTGGCAGAAGTGTAAATTCTTAATCAGTTACTAGTAATAGTCATTGTCTTGAAAGGGAAAATAACCCCAAGTTGACAACAGATGCCTGTCCTTCCAGATAAAATGAAATTATTCAACGCACTGGGTTGACTTAACACTGCAAGTAAGTAAATAACACATCAAACTGTAAGCTTGTTTAATTTTCATGAGACTAATTTCTTAGCTACAGCTGTCAAAACAGGTAACTAGCCCTAAGTGGGCAAAATGTGCCTTAAAAAAAAAAAAATTAAAAACAGGTTTTAGAAAACTTATTTTATTTGTGTAATTTTCGAATACACATTTGCTTTTCTTTGGGTTTAAGCGCAGTTAAGTCACAGGAATTGTTAACTTTTCCTAAGTAAACTCAAGGCTTCCTAGGAGAGAGAAGAGGAAAGAGAAAAGGGGGAGAACACACGGAAAAGTGAGGACAACCTATTTGACAAAGGACAGGTTTTGTATGGCGAACCACCTTCTTCCGAAACTGCAGATTTCCAGAAGTTGATTTCAAACAAATCGGGAGGGATGGATAAATTCCAACTCTCCAAGTGCTGTAGACCATCCGGAAGCAAATGCCGGCGGCCCTTGGGGAGTGATCGAAACGTGTAGTAGTAGCAGGGCTCTCTTCGTCCCATTCATTGACACTTGATAGTGTCTCCAGAACACTCACCTCCGTTCTAGCTGAGCACAAATCACACTCACCAAGGAAGCTGGTGGGAGTCGGACACACACCCAGACGTACACCCACACCCTTGGCCCCAGGGCTGTAAAGCGCGATCCACGGAATCCAGAGGAGACCGAAAACCAGGAGTCGATGGAACCTCTCACTGCAAAATCTCCCCGCTTTCTGAGGCTGAAGCCGAGAAGAACGCCACAGGACAACGCAGGGGAAGAGGGGGTACCTCCCCCTTACCTTGATGGCTTTCTCCATGTCGCTCTCCTCCGACATACTCAGCGGGGCCCCCACAGCCGGGAGAGGCAGAGGCTGCGCAGCCGCCCTGTCCCCGCGCGGCCGAGGAAGCAAAGGGCTCGGCTCTCGGGCCCCTGGGCCTCGTGGCGACGAGAGGCAGCCGCTCCTCGGGACCGGTGGGGATGAAGACCCCGGAGCCGGCTCTGCTTCGGCGGGCGGCTCTAGGCTGGCGGCAGCAGCAGCGGCGGAGGCGGCGGCCCCTGGGGACAAGTCTTTGTGCTGGGCCCCGCGCGGCCGCCTCCTAGCCTCATCCCCGGCTGGGGAGTCAGGCTCCCGGGGTAGGGCGAGGCGGGGAGGGCCTCCACCCGGGGCGCTGTGCAGGGGCCTCGTGGGGCCGCCGCTTAGACCCGGGCTCGCCAGGTCCTAAAGAGGAGCCTGCGCCTCCGCCTCCGCCGCCTGCACCGCCGCGAAGCCGAAGCCGAAGCAGAGCTCGGCGCCGCTGCTCCCGCCGCCGCCTCAGCGCCACACATCGCCGGGACACCCGCGCCGGGCAGCCCCGCCGGCCGCCCTCACGCATGCGCTGTGCTCCGCGGGAGCTCCGGGCCGCCCCTTTTGCCGCCCAGCTTCGTGACTCCACGGCCCCACGCGCCCCTTGCTGCCTTCCGCTGGGGTTTCCAAGCCGCCCCGGAGCCGCGCACCCGACTTGCAGGCGTCCGCCTGGGCCTCCCGAAGTCGCGCCGCTTACAGAACAGGCCCCTGGACCTTCCGCGGCGATGGCGCTGCGCTAATGACGTCATGGGTCCGGACTCGCGTGAGTGCGCGTGCGTTGGAGCCTCATCCTTTATCTCCACTCTGCGGAGATTCACGCCTGGGAAACGCTCTTCTGAGAGGACCCATGGAGGTCAACCCGGGAGAGAGACGAGAGGACTGAAGCACCTAAAGTGTCCTGCCTTAAGGGAGCAGGATTGTGTAGAATATATAATAGCAGTAGCAGCTCTGTTTACGGAGCATTAACCTTACGTGGAGTTCTTTCCTACGTTACCTCCTTTCATCTTTACAAAGGAGCCATTTGGTGTTGTGAGGTATGGATGTTCCCATCCCTAATTTGCAGAATAGGTAACTGAAGCTCAAGAGAGCTAGTTTGCGCACAGCCGAGAAGTGGTCAAGTTAGAATGGGACCCCAGGTTTGTGCTCCCTACTCTCCACCGATAACCTATCAAAGGGCTTTGAAAGAGCTTTTGACTAATCGCCTCTCAGTGGTTCTTCATTCACTTATTAATTGCACATCAGTATGTGCCAAATCTACTAGACATTGGAGAAACAGTAGGAACAAGACACGGTACCGGCACATGGATCTTTCAGGAAAAGGAAGTAGGTAATAAACAGGAAAAAGCCCGAGTCTGATGCTAAGAAGAACATAAACAGGATGCTGAGGTAAGAGAATAACGGGATGTGGAGACTGCTTCGTATTAGATTATTAAGGAAGGAATCTCAGGAGGTAACATTTAAGCTGAGACCCCTGAGGAATGAGAAAGGGCTGGCTATTGGAAATCCAAGGAAAGATTTCTGAGCAGATGGGTAAAAAATTTAAGGTGGAAATATGCTAAATATGTTCAAGGATCAGCAAGAAGGTCATTGTAGCTGGCGTAGATCGAGTAGGAGGAGACTGATAAAGGATGAGGCTGGAGGCCGGGCGCGGTGGGTCATGCCTGTAATCCCAGCACTTCAGGAGGCCAAGGTGGGCAGATCACTTGAAGTCAGGAGTTCGAGATCAGCCTGGCCAACATGGTGAAACCCCGTCTCTATTTCAAAAAAATTTTTTTAAAAAGTATAAAAAGGATGAGGTTGGAGATGTGGGCAGTGGCTTCATCATATGTGGCCTTTGGGGGTCATAATCAGGACTTTGGATTTTATTCTAAGCTATTGTAAGGTTTTAAACTAAAGAGTGGTGTGATCAAATTTGTTTTAAAATATCACTCTGCTTTGTAAAAATGGAATATAGGAAAGCAAGAATGGAAACAGAGCTATTAGGCTATTGGAGAATAATGCAGTTGAGAGATTATTACACTGTCTGAACTAAGGAGGTGGCAGTAAAGGTGTAGAGAAGATGGATTTTTTTTTTTTTTTAAATAGGGTCCCACTGGCTAGAGTGCAGTGGCATGATCACAGCTCACTGCAACCTAGACCTCCTGGGCTCAGGCAATCCTCCCACCTCAGCATCCTGAGTAGCTGGAACTACAGGGACATGCCACCACGCCTGGCTAATTTTTCGTATTTTTTTGTAGAGATGGAGTCTCTCCACATTGTCCAGGCTGCTCTCCAACTCCTGAGTTAAAGTGATCCCCTTCCCTTGGCCTCCCAAAGTACTGGGATTACAGGCGTGAGCCACTGGGCCTGGCTGAGAAGATGGATTTAAGACATGTTTCGGAGGTAACATTTTCAGGACTTCCTGAAGGATTAGATGTGGAAGGGGAGGATAAGAAACAGACCAAGGATAACTTTCACATGTATGCTTAAGCAACTGGATGGATAATGATGCCACTGAGTGAGTGAAAAACTTGATGGAAGTGGAAGATTCAGAGTTCATTTCTATCTAGGTTAATTTGAGACATACCAGAGCATAAGTAATTGAATATTGGAGTGGAGACTTAGTTGTCTACCGAATTATTATTTTCTTTGTTGGACATACACCTACACTGCATTCTCAAAGTAAAATAAGTGTAGCTCTGTGCCTATGCTCTGCCCAGCAGAAAGCGAGCAGAAGAGGTGTGCACAGTTTCCAGGCCTGGCCCATACAGACCTCCAACAGGTGCTCCCCTGTGCTCTTACTCCTTCTGCCAACTGGAAGCAGATGGTGACCAGGCTCTGCAGAAGGCAAGGCCTGAAGATGAGAGATTCCTGAGTGGAGGAGAACTGTGCCTTACTGACCTAAATATCCACTCAGTATTGTTATGTGAGAATAAATAAACTTAGGTTGACCTTTTACTTACTTTGAGTCTTTTGTTCTAGTAGCTTTGCCTATGCTACCTACTATGAATAAGAGCAATCATCCGGCAGTTAACTTTGGGAGAAAATTTTTAAATGACTTGAATTGACATCTGTAATAGGAAATATTCGTGCAAAAGTAATTGTGGTTTTTGCCATTTAAAAGTAATGGCAAAAACTGCAATCATTTTTGCACCAACCTATATAGAAGATGCCCGGGATTCATTCATTTCCTCCAGTAAGAATTTCTCTCTGCCAGGCTCTGTGTCTTGTGATACAGATGCAGAGATGATGTCATATAATAGAGATGCAGCGATGAAGAGACAAGGTCCCTGCCCTCAGGCAGCTTTTAGTCTAGCTGCTCAACTTACTTATTTGCACATGCTTTCCCACTACCTAGAAACTCTTCCCTCCTAACACACACACATACACACAAACACACACACACGCACACCCTAGTTTCTATTCATTCTTCAACCTTATTCTTCTTTGAGGTGGAGCCTTGCTGTGTCCCCTAGGCTGGAGTGCAAGGACGCAATCTCGGCTCACTGCAACTTCCGCCTCCTGAGTTCAAGTGATTCTCCTGCCTCAGCCTCCCAAGTAGCTGAGATTACAGGTGCCTGCCACCACACCCGACTAATTTTTGTATTTTTAGTAGAGACAGGGTTTCACCATGTTGGCCAGGCTGGTCTCGAACTCCTGACCTTAGGTGATCCGCCCACCTCAGCCTCCCAAAGTGCTGGGATTACAGGCATGAGCCACCACACCTAGTCAATTCTTGATAATGTTTTTTCAGAAAGACATGCCTTGCCCATACCCTCCTTTCCTAATCTAAATCAGATGTTCCTATTATCCTGTAACTAAATAGTCTCAACAAGGGAAAGAATCTTTTTTGTCTTATTGGTCATATGTCCCTAATACCCAATCCATGGTAAGTACTTAATAAATTTATCCATTGAAGGAATCAATGAATGGAGAAGGCAGAACCCTGAAGAAAGCGGTTTCTTCCAATGAAATTCCTCTATTGTTTGCTGGTGAGGCTGCCCTGGTTCACGGCCTTCAGTGATGCTCACCTCCTGGTACTTATGATCTTATGTAGTCCTCTCACCCTGCATGTGGGCTGGATCAAGTGGTTTGCTTCCAATGAACGGATGTCATGTTCAAGATTAGGTTACAGAAACACTCTGGCTTCCATTGGGGCCCTCTCTGACTCTTACTCATTTGCTCTTAGGGAAGCTGGCTCACTTGGTTCCTAAAGCTGCTCTAATAAGGTATTACAAATTGGGTGGCTTAAAACAACAGAAGTTGATACTCACAGCTCCAGATGCTAGAAGTCTGTAATGAATGTGTCAGCAGAGGCCAGGCACTGTGGCTCACTCCTGTACTCCCAGCACTTTGGGAGGCCAAAGCAGGCAGATCACTTGATGACAGGAGTTCAAGACCAGCCTGGCCAACATGGTGAAACCCCGTCTCTACTAAAAATACAAAAAAAAATTTGCCAGTGGTGGTGGTGGGCACCTGTAATCCCAGCTACTCTGGAGTCTGAGCCAGGAGAATCACCTGAACCGGGGAGGCAGAGAGGTTGCAGTGAGCTGAAATTGTACCTGTGCACTCCAGTCTGGGCAACAGAGCAAGACTCTATCTCAAAAAAAAAAAGTGGCCAGGCACAGTGGCTCATGGCCAAGGTGGGCAGATCACGAGGACAGGAGATTGAGACCATCTCGGCTAACACGGTGAAACCCCATTTCTACCAAAAATACAAAAAAGTAGCCAGGCGTAGTGGCGGGCACCTGTAGTCCCGGCTACTCGGGAGGCTGAGGCAGGAGAATGGCGTGTTCCCAGGAGGCAGAGCTTGCAGTGAGTCAAGATCACGCCACTGCACTCCAGCCTGGGTGACAGTGTGAGACTGTCTCAAAAAAAAAAAAAGTCAACAAAGCCATGTTCCCTCTGAAGGCTACAGGGAAGGCTCCTTCCTTCCGGTGGCTTTGGACAGTCCTTGGCATTCTTTGGCTGTATCACTCCCGGCTGTGCCTCTGTCTTCACATGGCCTTCCCTGTGTGTCTCTCTGTGTCCTCTCTTACTAAAACAGTCGTTGGATTTAGGGTCCAACATCATCCAGCATGATCTCATCTTAATTACATCTGCAAAGACCCTATTTCCAAATAAGGTCACATTCTGAACTTCTGTGCAAACATGAATTTGGGGGCAACATACTATTCAGTCCATTAGAGACATGTCGAGGAACTAACGTCTCTTACCAGCTGCCAGTGAGTACCTAAGGACTACCAACACATACATGAGCTTGGACAGGATACTCACCAAATTGAGCCTTTAGCTGACAGCATCCTCAGCCCACAACATGATCATGGCCCTGTGAGAGTCTCTATGCCAGGCGCACCCAGCCAAGCCATACCCAAATTCCCATCCCATAGAAACAGATTTTTTTTTTTTTTTGAGACGGAGTCTCGCTCTGTCGCCCAGGCTGGAGTGCAGTGGCCGGATCCCAGCTCACTGCAAGCTCCGCCTCCCAAGTTTACGCCATTCTCCTGCCCCAGCCTCCCAAGTAGCTGGGACTACGGGCTCCGCCACCTCACCCAGCTAGTTTTTTGTGTTTTTTAGTAGAGACGGGGTTTCACTGTGTTAGCCAGGATGGTCTCGATCTCCTGACCTCGTGATCTGCCCGTCTAGGCCTCCCAAAGTGCTGGGATGACAGGCTTGAGCCACCGCACCCGGCCAGAAACAGATTTTTTAATGTTGTTTTAAATTACTAAATTTGGCCGGGCATGGTCGTTCACGCCTGTAATCCCAGCACTTTGGGAGGCCGAGGCGGGTGGATAACTTGAGGCCAGGAGTTCAAGACTAGCCTGACCAACATGGTGAAACCCCATCTCTACTAAAAGTACAAAAATTAGCCAGGTGTGATGGCACCTGCCTGTAATCCCAGCTACTCAGGAGGCTGAGGCAGGAGAATGACTTGAACCCGGGAAGCAGAGGTTGCAGTGAGCCAAGATCATACCACTGTACTCCAGTCTGGGCAATAGAGCAAGACTATCTCCAAAAAAATTTTAAAAATTAAAAATAAATAAGGTTGGGCATGGTGGCTCATGCCTGTAATCCTAGCACTTTGGGAGGCCAAGATGGGCGGATCACAAGGTCAGGAGTTCAAGACCCACCTGGCCAACACGGTGAAAGCCCGTCTCTATTAAAAATACAAAAAATTATTCAGGCATGGTAGTGCATGCCCGTAATCCTAGCTACTGGGGAGGCTGAGGCAGGAGAATTGCTTGAACTCAGGAGGCGGAGGTTGCAGTGAGCCGAGATCGTGCCATTGCACTCCAGCCTGGGTGACAGGGCAAGAGTCTGTCTCAAAAAAAAAAAAAAAAAAAAATAGGATCAATATGTGGGATACAGGCTGGGTGTGGTGGCTCATGCCTGTAATCCCAGCACTTTGGGAGGCTGAGGCGGGTGGATCACTTGAGGTCAGGAGTTTGAGATCAGCTTGGCCAAAATGGAGAAACCCCGACTCTACTAGAAATACAAAAATGAGCCAAGCGTGGTGCCATGCACCTATCATCAAAATAAATAAGCAGGTTCTGATTCCTTACCTGTGGGGTGGTGCCTGGGTTTCTGCATTGCTAAGAAGCTGCCCAGTGATGTAGATGCTGCTGCTCGGTCCAGGACCATACTTTGAGGAGCGGGTGTCGACACCTCCACAGTGCCTGTCACTCAACAGCCCCTACTTACGGGATGGGCCTTGCTTCATGTGGGTGCCATGTGACTCCATCCCCTGGCCACAGCTGACTGGCCCAGGAATGGCCATCTGACCCAAGCTGGGCCCTTCAGAGGATCCTGGGAAGTGAGACTGGAACATTAACCCAGTTGTGAGTGGCTGTGGACACGGAGAGGTTGTTTTGTCCCAGGCTGAGGCAGTCCTTGTCTGCCTCGGGAAATGGAAGCGGTGAGGCTGTGGAGAGGCCAGAAGGAGCAGCCTCCCAGCTCAAAGAGATTCGGCCCTGCCTCCCATTCCTCACTGCACTAACTGTCCCATGTCCTTTCCAGGTGTACCCCTATTGCCTGATGATTGTGTTACCAGTGGAGGGTGTCCAGGTTCTTGGCGTCTTGAACAAAAAATTGGACAAAACGCACAAAGCAAGGAAAGAAATGAAGAAAATTATTGAAAATGAAAATATACCCCACAGTGTGGGAACAGGCTGAGCATAGGGGCTCAAAGACCCCATTATAGAATTTTTGGGGGTTTAAATACCCTCTAGAAGTTTCCATCAGTTCCTTGGTGTATGTCCTACGTAAATGAAGAAGATGAAGTAAAGCTACAAAGTCATTTACTTGGTGTACGCCATATGTAAATAAAGAGGATGAAGTAAAGTTACAAGGTCATTTACTCGGTGTACGCCCTATGTAAAAGAAGAGAACAGGCCGGGCGCGGTGGCTCACGCATGTAATCCCAGCACTTTGGGAGGCCAAGGCAGGTGGATCACAAGGTCAGGAGATCAAGACCATCCTGGTTAGCATGGTGAAAACCCATCTACTAAAAATACAAAAAGAAATTAGCCAGGCATGGTAGCGGGCACCTGTAGTCCCAGCTACTCGGGAGGCTGAGGCAGGAGAATGGCGTGAACCCATGAGGCAGAGCTTGCCTGCAGAGCTTGCAGTGAGCCGAGATCGTGCCACTGCACTCCAGCCTGAGTGACAGAGTGAGACTCCATCTCAAAAAAAAAAAAAAAAAGAGAATGAAATAAAGGTACAAAGTCATTTACTTGGTGTGCGCCCTGTGTAAATGGAGAGGATATTTCCTGTCATAGCTGAAGTGTGAATTGGGCTTATGTTCCCTGCCTCCAGACCCTATTTTCATGGCTCAGTTGGAGTGATATCTCATCCCTCTGAATGCTGCCGAGCAGTCACCGGTTTTTCTCAGGCCATCTTTGTTGGTTGAAGTTCACAACAGTGCTCTTCCCTAACTTCACACGCTTGCCCAATTGTGTTCTTGGATTAAGTTCTTAGTCATGAATGCCTGCCAGAAAGGTTGTGCCTTCTGGGCACCTTGGCTCACACCTGTAATCTCAACACTCTGGGAGGCCAGGAGTTCAAGACCAGCCTGAGCAACATAGCAAGACCTTATCTCAATAAAATAAATAAAAAGGCTGGGCATGGTGGCTCACACCTGTAATCCCAGCACTTTGGGAGGCCAAGGCAGGCAGATCACCTGAGGTCAGGAGTTTGAGACCAGCCTCGCCAACATGGAGAAACCCCGTCTCTACTAAAAATACAAAAATTAGCTGGGCATGGTGGTGCACGCCTGCAGTCCCAGGTACTCAGCAGGCTGAGGCAGGAGAATCGTTTGAACCTGGGAGGCAGAGGTTGCAGTGAGCCAAGATCATGCAAGTGCACTCTAGCTGGGGCAACAAGAGGAAAAATCCGTATCAAAAAAAAAAAAAAAGAAAGAAAATAAATAATAAAATTCAAAAATAATATAAATGATAATACTAAAGGTTGTATCGTTATGTTTTCGTAGTAGTATGAAAGCATGCCAAGGTCTCTGACCTGTTTCTGTTCCTCAAATATAGCAAAACTGGACAGTCTATGAATGGAAAGTTCTAGCATCTGCTGACCTGACTCAGCTCAAATCCTTCAGACCTCTGAGCTGGAAGAGGCCCAGAGGTCTCCAAGGCCAGCCTCACCTCAGGTGCAGCATCCATGTTGGGGCTCTGTGGGCTGGCTGGAGCACTCAGTGTTTGCTAACTGGCTCCTGTCTCCCCTCTCAGAGCTCACAGAATAAATATCATCCCTCTCCTGGGACAGCTTTTTAGGTATCTCACATGGTGTACATTTCCTTAAAATTTTTGTTAACTCTTGGGCCGGGCGCGGTGGCTCAAGCCTGTAATCCCAGCACTTTGGGAGGCCGAGACGGGCGGATCACGAGGTCAGGAGATCGAGACCATCCTGGCTAACACGGTGAAACCCCGTCTCTACTAAAAAGTACAAAAAACTAGCCGGGCGAGGTGGCGGGCGCCTGTAGTCCCAGCTACTCCGGAGGCTGAGGCAGGAGAATGGCGTAAACCCAGGAGGAGGAGCTTGCGGTGAGCAGAGATCCGGCCACTGCACTCCAGCCTGGGTGACAGAGCCAGACTCCGTCTCAAAAAAAAAAAAAAAAAAAAAAAAAAAATTTTTGTTAACTCTGGGAAACAGTGCATAACATAAAATGTACCAGCCTAACCATTTCTTTTTTCTTTGAGACGGAGTCTCGCTCTGTCACCTAGGCTGGTGTGCAATGGCGCTATCTTGGCTCACTGCAACCTCCGCCTCCTGGGTTCAAGCAATTCTCCTGCCTCAGCCTCCCGACTAGCTGGAATTACAGGTACCTGCCACCATGCCCGAGTAATTTTTTTGTATTTTTAATACAGATGGGGTTTCACCATGTTGACCAGGCTGGTCTCTAACTCCTGACCTCACGTGATCCACCTGCCTCGGCCTCCCAAATTACTGGGATTACAAGCATTAGCCACCATGCCCAGCTTTATCCTAACGATTTCTAAGAGTACAGTTTAGTAACGTAAAGTATATCCACACTGTTGCGCAGCCGGTCTCCAGAACTTTTTCATGTTGCAAAACTGAAACTCTATACCCACTGAACAACAACTCCACATGGTAGCTTTGTGAAGCTGCTGAGGAGGCACTATTCCAAAGAATTTTAATATCTCGGCTGGGCGCGGTGGCTTAAGCCTGTAATCCCAGCACTTTGGGAGGCCGAGACAGGCGGATCACGAGGTCAGGAGATCGAGACCATCCTGGCTAACACGGTGAAACCCCGTCTCTACTAAAAAATATAAAAAACTAGCCGGGCGAGGTGGCGGGCGCCTGTAGTCCCAGCTACTCGGGAGGCTGAGGCAGGAGAATGGCGTAAACCCGGGAGGCGGAGCTTGCAGTGAGCTGAGATCCGGCCACTGCACTCCAGCCTGGGCGACAGAGCGAGACTCCGTCTCAAAAAAAAAAAAAAAAAGAAAAGAAAAAAGAATTTTAATATCTCATTTCACAATGATTATTCTTACTTTACAGCTGAAAAAAAAGGACAGTGTGTTAGTCTGTTTTGCATTGCTATAAAAGAATACCTGAGGCTGGGTAATTTTTTTTTTTTTTTTTTGACACGGGGTCTGGCTCTGTTGCTCAGGCTGGAGTGCAGTGGCATGATCTTGGCCCACTGCAACCTTTGCTTCCTGGGTTCAAGCGATTCTTGTGCCTCAGCCTCCTGGGTAACTGGGATTACAGGCATGCCCTACCATGCCTGGCTAATTTTTGTATTTTTATTAGAGATGCGGTTACACCATGTTGGTCAGGCTGGTCTCGAACTCTTGACCTCAGTAATCCACCTACCTCGGCCTCCCAAAGTGCTGGGATTACAGGCATGAGCCACTGTGCCCAGCCGTGAAGCTGAGTAATTTATAAAGAAAAGAGATTGATTTGGCTCATGGTTCTGCAGGCTGTACAAGCACAGTGCTAGCATCCGTTCTGCTTCTGGTGAACCCTCAGGAAGCTTAGAAATCCTGGCAGAAGGCAAAGGGGGAGCCGGCATATCCCATGGTGACAGACAGCCAGAGAGATGCCAGGCTCCTTTTCATAGAGAGCTGAATGCCCATGGGTTGTGACCAACTCAGCATTCCACTGAGGCTATATGCTCAAACAGCAAACTGTTTATCATGAATGCAGAATGTGGGCAAACTTGCTTCTGCTCCAGCCACCAGAAGGTTTGCTGAGGGCGATCAATCCCTGGCGCTGTGCACCTTGAGGTTATCTACTGGGACGCCTACTGTTCAAATAATGCAGTCTTGTGAGCCTGCTGTAAATCAAGCTGCTGACCGACAACCACCCTGCCCCCCTTCTCCCTGTCTCCTTTACCCAATAAATATGAAGGGTTCTAAAGCTCAGGGCCCTTGTTCATCAAAAGCAAGGAGCCCCCTGACCCCTTCTTCCAAATATGCTCTTTTGTCTTTATCTTTATTCTCACATTCGCCCCGCTTTGTTCAGTCCACCAAGGTCCATTCACGCATCAAAGTGGCACCCCAGAACAGGAACTCCGAGGACATGAACGAAGAAGGTCTGCTGGAGCAGAGAAGCTGAAGTTGACAAGACGAATGGGGACCCTGGAATGAGTCTGCTGGCAGCTGATATAAGGTCAGTGCCCTAAAGAGGTACTGATCAGTGCCCTAAAGAGGTACCAGGAGCAATATAAGGTCAGTGCTCTCTTAAAGAAGTACTGGGAATGGGAAGTTTTCTGAATCAGGTAACATGGGGCAGAATTTTCTGTTGAAAAAAAATTATGTGCAGTTGTTTAAAGTTTTGTTGAAACAATCTGGTGCTCAGGTTAATCCTCAGACATTAGCGAAGATGCTGCAGGAGGTTATTATGCATAACCCATGGTTTCCACAGGCAGGCACTCTTGATGTAGAAAATTGGCAAAGAGCAGGAAAAGAATTAAAACAGGCTCATCAAAAATGTCTTAAAGTTGATTCTTCTGCTTTCTCCACTTGGAGTTTAGTTCGTACTTTCCTGCCATTATCTCCTTCTTATTCTGCTGGACAGCAGGAGTCACGTTCTGAGTCTAAAACTCTGAAAGAGTGTTGTCCCACCCACAGCACCAATTGAAAATAAAAAACAGGAGAGGGAGGATAAAAATTGGCCTATACTGCCCCCTCCAGTTGCAGAAACATCTGTACCGCTTCCTTCAGTAGCAGAAATAGAGACCTCAATACAAAGAATTTTACGCTCTGCTGCCATAGCTGGAGAGCCCTTAGGACGTTGCACGTTTCCTATTTCCATAAGGCCTGATCCAAACAATCCACAGCAGTTTATTCATGAACAAACCCCACTAGAGTTTACGTTGTTGAAGGAATTAAAAACCAGTGTAATTAATAATGGGGTACAGAGCCCATTCACCTTAGGATTGTTAGAAACTGTATTTGGTGCTATGCGCCTTCTACCCTTTGATGTAAAACATTTGGCCCGCACTTGTTTGTCTGCTAGTGCATAGCTGACATGGAATTTAAATTGGCAAGAAATGTGTGCAGACCAGGCTAGATAGAATCATGCTGCTGGACACGGAGACATTACAGAGGATATGCTGTTAGGTAATGGCCCTTATTCAGACCTGGAACTTCAAATGACACTTCCAGATGCTGCTTATCAGCAGTGTGCACAGGCCGCTAAACATGCCTGGGTCACAATTCCAGAAGAGGGAGTCCCAGTACAATCCTTTTTATATATCATGCAAGGGTCGCAGGAGCCCTATGCGCAATTTCTTGCAAGATTACAAGAGTCAGTGAAGCATCAGATTCCTCATACCACTGCCACAGAAATGCTAACCTTAACTTTAGCTTTTGAGAATGCAAACGCAGGCCGGGCGCGGTGGCTCAAGCCTGTAATCCCAGCACTTTGGGAGGCCGAGACGGGCGGATCACGAGGTCAGGAGATCGAGACCATCCTGGCTAACACAGTGAAACCCCGTCTCTACTAAAAAATACAAAAAACTAGCCGGGCGAGGTGGTGGGCACCTGTAGTCCCAGCTACTCGGGAGGCTGAGGCAGGAGAATGGAGTAAATCTGGGAGGCGGAGCTTGCAGTGAGCCGAGATCTGGCCACTGCACTCCAGCCTGGGCCACAGAGCAAGACTCCGCCTCAAAAAAAAAAAAAAAAAAAAAAGAGAATGCAAACGCAGATTGTAAATGTGCACTGGCACCTGTGAGGTGTACAAAACTTGAGAAATTTTCTCAGAACTTGTCAGGATGTAGGAACTGAGCTCCATCGCTCTGCAATTTTAGCTCAAGCAACGGCTAATTTAGTAGTTGACAAATCTAAAAGGAGCCAAGGGTCAAACCCTAAAGTGGGAAAATGTTATAACTGTGGAAAAACTGGACATTTTAAAAAGGAATGCCTTATAATGCGGTGACCCCCCCCATCCCCCCCAGCAGAAAAAACGCCAGTACTCTGTCCTCGCTGAAACAAAGGAAATCACTGGGCTATTCAATGCTGCTCAAAATTTCATCAAAACGGCACCCCCGTCAGGAAACGAGAAGGGGGCCTGGACCCGGGCCCCTCAAACAATGAGGGCATTCCCAGTTCAGACTACAACCCCACTTCAAGGGTGGGTCCCAGGAGGAACATTGATTCCCTCACCCCAGGAACACCAGGAAGTGCAGGATTAGAGCTTCCAGTCAGAGAAAGAATTACATTAGTTGGTGGAGGCAAACCTATCAAAGTCCCCACTGGCATTTGGGGACCTTTACCAGCAGGATACATGGGACTAATTTTAGGCAAAAACTGCCTTAACTTGCAAGGCATCACTGTAGTCCCAGGAGTAGTTGACTCTGACTATGAAGGAGAAATTCAAGTAGTTTTACTGTCACAAGATCTTTGGGTTTTGGAACCAGGAGAATATATTGCTCAATTATTGCTTATTCCCTGCAAATTATACTCTTCTCCACGAAAGGAGAAACGAGGAAATAAAGGGTTTGGGAGCACAACTACATGAGAAATCTATCACAACCTATAGCCTCTAATAGGCCCACCTGTGTAGTACAAAGGAAAGGAAAGAAATTGTATGGGCTTATGGACACTGGAGCTGTGTCAGTAATATCCAGTAAGGACTGGCTCCCAGCATGGCCTCTCAGACTAACCTCTACATCCCTAGTGGGAGTAGGAGCAGCTAAAAGTGTTCAACAGAGTGCTGAGATTTTACCTTGTCTTGGTCCGGATGAACAGTCATGTACTTTCCAGCCTTATGTTGCAAATACAGCTATCGATTTATGGGGTCAAGACTTACTTACAGCATGGGATATGAGACTTACAAGTGAAAACTTTGATAACCCAGGATTTAAAATGTTGAAGGACATGGGATATCAGAGTGGAAAAGGTTTAGGGAAATTCCTACAAGGAAACCCTAACCCGGTATCTATAACTGGAAAAACAGTTAGCAAAGGGCTAGGATGTCAGGATTTCTGATGGGGATCATTAATATTTCTCCTCCACCCACTGCCTTACCATTAGAATGGCTTTGTGACAAACCTGTGTGGGTGGATCAATGGCCCCTAACACAGGAGATGCTAGATCAACTTCATCTGTTGGTAAAAGAACAATTGAACGCAGGACATACAGAGAAGTCAGCCCCTGGAATTCACCGGTATTTGTTATTCCAAAACAGTCCAGAAGATGGTGACTACTGCATGATTTGAGAGCTATTAGTGCACAAATTAAACCGATGGGTGCCTTACAGCAAGGTTTACCTTCCCCAGCAGCCATTCCAAGAGACTGGCCTCTTGTAGTAATAGATCTTAAGGATTGTTTCTTTACTATACCATTACACGAGAAGGATAAGCCTAGATTTGCCTTCTCTGTGCCTTCTATTAATTATAGAGAACCTGTTTCTCACTATCCATGGAAAGTTTTACCTCAAGGCATGCTTAACAGTCCTACATTATGTCAGCACTTTGTGGGAAGAGCATTAAAGGAGCCTTGAAATATGTTTCCCACTGTGTATATCATTCATTTTATGGATGATACTCTTTTGGCCGCTCCTACAGATCAAATTTTACATCAGTTATTCAGAGAAACAAAACAGGCTTTAATTAAATGGAATCTCAAAATTGCTCCAGAGAAAGCGCAAACAACTTCCCCATACCAATAGGTAGGAACTATTGTTATGGAGAGGAGTGTACGGCCTCAGAAAGTAGTTCTCCGTAAAGTCAGGTTACAGACTTTAAATGATTGTCAATAATTATTAGGAGATATTAATTGGTTGTGATCAATGCTAAGTACTGCCACTTACCAAGTTACACACCTTTATCAAACCTTGCAAGGAGATTCTTCCTTAAATTCCCCAGAGCAATTGATCAAAGAGGCAGAAGTGGAGTGACGACTTGTAGAGCAGACGCAAGGGCAATGATATGCCTCACGGCTACAACCACAAAAACCTTTGCTTTTGTTTTTCCTATCCCTCACTCTCCAACAGGACTTTTAGGCCGATGCTTAGACAAATCTGTAACAGTAATAGAATGGCTCTTTCTACCTAATCAAACAGTCAAAACCTTGCAATAAAAAACCTTTCTTTAATTACACAAATTGTGACTGTGCGGGCAGGCATAGGTCAAAGATGCTTATGGGATATGATCCAGATAAAATTATTGTTCTTTTAGACTCTCAGCAACAGTCCGGAGCTTGGGAAATGTCGACTGCCTGGCAAATCACTTTTGCAGACTTTGTGGGTGCAATAGACAACCACTATCCCTCAGACAAAATTTTGCAGTTTAATAAAGTCCATTCTTTCATTCTTCCTGTGATTACTTACCACAAGCCTATTTCAGGTGTCCAGACTTCATTTACTGATGGCTCTTCTAAAGGTCATGCAGCTATTTATGGACCTAAACATACTCAAACAATAATGACCTCTGGGGTTTCAGCTCAAGGCTCAGAGTTAATTGCAGTCATTCAGGTTTTACAGCTCACAGCTGCAGATCCTATCAACATTGTCTGTGATTCAACTTATGTTTTTTTTTTTTTTTGAGACGGTATCTTGCTCTGTCGCCCAGGCCAGAGTGCAGTGGTGCAATCTCGCCTCCCGGGTTCAAGCACTTCTCCTGCCTTAGCCTCCCGAGTATCTGGGACTACAGGCGCCCGCCACCACGCCCGGCTCATTTTTTGTATTTTTTTTTTCAGTAGAGACAGGGTATCACCATGTTAGCCAGGATGGTCTCGATCTCCTGACCTCATGATCCGCCTGCCTCGGCCTCCCAAAGTCCTGGGATTACAGGCGTGAGCCACCAGGCCCTGCCCGATTCAACTTATGTTGTAAGTGTAGCCAGTTGCATAGAAACTGCTACAATTAAAAATACACTAGACCCAGAACTGCTTAATTTGTTACTAAGACTTCAACAAACTATTTGCTCTCCTGCGGCTCCTTTTCATATTTCTCATATTCGCTCTCACACACAACTTCCTGGGCCACTACCTCTAGGTAATGATAGAGCAGATAAACTGATTAGCTCTGTGTTTCAGCAAGCTCAAGCCTCTCATGCACGACTGCACCAAAATACTTCCGCCCTACTCGCATGTTCCATTTCTCTGGCAGCCAAGCTAGGGCTATAGTACAAGCCTGTCCTACTTCCCAGCATGTCCCTGGAGCCACACCTGTGGAAGATTGTAACCCACGAAGTTTGGCTCCAGATGAAATCTGGCAAATGGATGTTACACATATAGCAGCCTTTAGTAAACTTAGCTATGTTCATGTGACTACAGACACTTATTCTCATATGCAGCATGCTACATGCCAAACAGGTGAGACAGCTGGTCATGTATGGCAACATTGTCTGTCATCATTTGCTCATATGGGGATACCTAAATAATTAAAAACTGACAATGGACCCACTTATACTAGTCATGCTTTTCAAAATTCTTACAGCTTTAGGCTATAACCCATAAAATAGGAATTCCTTATAATCCTAGAGGACAAGGAATTACAGAGTGGGCACATCAAACATTACAACGCAAGTTGAAAAAACAGAAAGGGGCTGGGTGCGGTGGCTCGCACCTGTAATCCCAGCACTTTGGGAGGCCGAGGCAGGCAGATCACGAGGTCAAGAGATCGAGACCATCTGGCCAACATGGTGAAACTCCGTCTCTACTAAAAATACAAACATTAGCTGCGCATGGTGGCGTGTGCCTGTAGTCCCAGCTACTTGCGAGGCTGAGGCAGGAGAATCACTTGAACCTGGGAGGTGGAGGTTGCAGTGAGCTGAGATCTCACCATTGCACTCTAGCCTGGTGACAGAGCAAGACTCCATCTCAAAAAAAAAAAAAAAGGGAAAAACAGAAAGGAGGGACAGAAGACCAGTTACCACCTCAAACAAAACTATACTTAGCCTTATTTACTTTAAATTTTTTGACTCCTGGTATGGATGGTAAGACTACAGCAGAAATACATTGGCAAGTGTTAGAGGAAAAGAGAAAAGTTTATCTGAAAGTGTTATGGAAATCCCCGGAAAAAGGACAATGGAAAGGTCTGGTGGATTCACTGACGTAGGGATGAGAGTATGCTTGTGTTTTTACAGGAGATGGACAAGCCGTGTGTGTGGGTGCCCTCAAGGTGCATGCAACCATGGAACAGGAGACTAGAGGAACCCAGGGTGGCCAACTATGGGCCCAGTCCCTCTGGTACAAGCCATAAGCCAGCTGAGCCTGAGTGCAAAGATGGAGAGAAGGCCGACCGGAGTCATGAGGACCTCAACCCCCATAACCTGGGGGCAACTCAAGAATACCCCGCAGGAAGCTGAGAAACTACTGGAGCATCAAGGCCAGGCAAAAACCCCTGATTCCATGTTCTTGGCCATATTAGCCATAATGTCCTGTGCTGTGTTTACCCTGTGCAGAGGCAAAAACATATGGGGCATATGTTCTCAATCTCCCAGTAGTGCAACCTATATTTTGGAGTGACACTCCTCCTGAGATTTATTATGATCAGGGAGTGTGGGCTCCAGGACCCCTGACTCCCCCGACATAGAACAGTTGGGCTCTCAGAACGTCATTAATTATAGCGCCCCACTAGAAGGACTCCCTTTATCACTACAAAGACGTCACTCAACCATAGCTGTCTTATAATTCAAGCTCAAGAAAGGTTGAGTCATTATGGTAAAGTCATGTACCTATTAAGTCTTGGTTCTATTAATGTAACTGGTGTGCTAACCAACCATTCCTGGCCCAGTCGCCCTAATTGTGCTGACTGTATGGAATGGATTCCCTTTGATAGTTCCTACCCACCTCCATGGACCCAGTATCTTGGCCCACTGGCTAGAAAACAATTTATGGTAAGTTGGAGACATTGTGGATTGGGGACCTAAAGGTCAACTATATGGAAAACATGAAAATCAGAAATCACGGCACAAACTTCGCTGGCATGGGGTGGCAAGCTTTTAATGCTGCTTCTTTATACCGTACCGGGATCCAATCCCAGTCTGCCACCCGGATTGCTTGGCATGGAGCAGGTTTTAGCCCGCCTCTTCCTCAGTGGCATTATCTAGGGAGGAAAGGACCAATCCAAGAGACATTAGGGAAGGCAGCACTCCCATTTATGAATGGCAGCATCTGGGATGGGATACTATCCAATAATAGCAACAGTAAGCAACACAGTCTTAATGTTACGTTTGTAAAGAATATCACCACTCGATTTATAGTTTGTGTTTTTAATCCTTATGTCTTTTTGGCAGCTAAGAAGGACCAGCTCCAGGTAAACAATACCCAGTTGACCTGTAAATCTTGCCAGTTATATCACTGCATTAATCATAGCACATTGCACACACATAATATCTCTACTTTGATTATTTTGGGTTGCATCCCTGGGCTATGGATTCCTGTTAATCTCTCTGAGCCTTGGGCTACCACCCCTGCTTTGCACTTCATGAAACAACTTTTAACTCATCTTACTCATTGTGTCCATAAAGCCTTAGGCATCATAATTTTTGCTATTGTTTCCTTGGTCACATTAATAACTTCTGTTGTGATGTCCTCTGTAACTTTGCATAGTTCTATTCAAACAACTCAGTATGTGGAAAACTGGATGCGTATAGCCAACCAAGTGTGGCTACTTCACAATAAAATTAACACTGAGTTACAAACTGAAGTGGCAATGTTGAAATCCATGGTTCTATGGTTAGAATAACAAGTACAAAACTTGCAATTGCAACAGCAATTGCACCATCATTTTAATCACACTCATATTTGTGTAACCAACTTAGAATATAACCAAAGTGAGTATCCGTGGAACCTCGTGAAAGCCCGTTTGCAGAGAGCTTGCACATCCAACATCACCTTTGATATTGGTCAATTACAAAACAAAATTCTTGATTTAAATAAACAAACTCAAGAGTTTCAGCCTTCTTTAGAAGACTGGACCGAATTCCAGCAAGGCCTGGAGCGCCTCAACCCTTGGACCTATCTAAAGCACCTCATTAACATCTTATATGTAGTCCTTGCAATAATGTTGTTTTTTTCTCTGTCTCCTGTTCATAGTCTGTAAAATTGGATGGACCGCCAATCAGAAAATGAGAGCTGCCCAGCCTGGCCTTACATTCTTTCAATTAATTCATAAACAGAAAGGGGGAAATGTAGAGAGCCGAATGCCCATGGGTCATCACCAACTCAGCATTCCACTGAGGCTATATGATCAAAGAGCAAACTGTTTATCATGAATGCAGAATGTGGGCAAACTCACTTCTGCTTTAGCCGCCAGAAGGTTTGCTGAGGGCAATCACTCCCTGGCGCTGTGCACCTTGAGGTTATCTACTGGGACATCTAGAGCCTACTGTTCAAAGAATGCAGTCTTGCGAGCCTGCTATGACTCAGGCTGCTGACCAACAACCACCCTCTCTTCTCCCTATCTCCTTTACCCAATAAATACAAAGGGCTCTAAAGCTCAGGGCCCTTGGTCACTAGAAGCAAGGAGCCCCCTGGCCCCTTCTTCCAAATATACTCTTTGGTCTTTATCTTTATTCCTGCGTTCGTCCCCCTTTGTTCAGTCCAACAGAGATTAGGTCCACCTCACCTTTTAAACAACCAGCTCTTGCATGAACTCATTACCATGGGGGAGGACACCAAGCCATTCATGAGGGATCCACCCCCATGATCCTAACACCTCACATCTTGCCCCACCTCCAACACTGAATATTACATTTTAACATGAGATTTTGAGGGGATATATATCCAAACTGTATCAGAGAGGTTACTTCAAATGTTCAGGTGCATGACATTTTGATATAGCTTTAAAAATAAGCTATTAGGTCTGTGCACAGCGTCTCATGCCTGTAGTCCTAGCACTTGAGAGGCCAAGCCAGCAGGATGACTTGAGGCCAGGAGTTCGAGATCAGCCTGAGCAACATAGCAAGACCCCATCTCTCTCTCTCTCTCTCTCAAGAAAAAAAAAAAAAAGAAAAAAACATATATATGCATGGTAGTGCACACCTATAATCCCAGCTACCCAGGAGGCTGAGTTGGGAGGATCGCTTGAGACCAGAAGTTCAAGACCAGCCTAAACAACACAGTGAGATCCCATCTCTACAAAAAATAAGCCATTAGACTCTAGGCTTATTATTATTGCCAGGTATCCTCACTGTTACTCCTGGCATGGAAGATATAGTAGGAGTCATAGATGGCTGTAGGTCCGGTGCTGTCTCACAAGTAAACCACATATCGCCAGGCATCACATCTATGCTCTCACTCTAGTATATCTATATTGTAACCCCTTCTATGTACCAAGGCAGGAGGATCACTTCAAGCCAGAAGCTGAAGACCAGCCTGAGCTACATATTGAAACCCTGACTCTTCAAAAATAATTAGCTGAGTGTGGTGGCACATGCTTGTAGTACCAGCTATTTGGGAGGCTGAGGCAGAAGAATCACCTGAGCCTAGGAGGTAGAGGCTGCAGTGAGCTATGATCGCACCACTGCACTCCAGCCTGGACGACGGAGTGAGATCCTGTCACTAAAAAAAATAAAAAATAAAAATATTTTTAAAAAGCTCTTGAGAAGACTCCAAGTACCGTTCCTGGCATGTAGTGGGTGCACAGTTAATACTTCTTCTTGGGGCCACAGGATTGGGCATCAGATTTACATTTCACCAAAACTTTCTTTACCATCTGTATCTATTTCCTTTTCAAAAATGTAAATAAAATCGATACAAATGAACAAATGTCAGCTCTGTTTTATCCTTCACAGAATAAGCCAAATGAGAGTTGGAAGTGACTTCAGAGATTGTGAGGAAATGGAAGCTTAGAGGTTGTATGGTTTGCCCAAGTTCCCCTGACCAGCTGTGGGACCCTGTTTTTTTTTCAGTTGAGGTGAAATTCACATAACATACAATTTACTTTTTTTTTTTTGAGACAGAGTCTCTCTGTGTCACCTAGGCTGGGGTGCAGTGGCACAATCTTGGCTAACCGCAACCTCTGCCTCCCAGGTTCAAGTGATTCTCCTGCCTCAGCCTCCCAAGTAGCTGGGCATGTGCTACCAAGCCCAGCTAATTTTTTGTATTTTTAGTAGAAATGGGGTTTCATCATGTTGGCCAGGCTGGTCTCGAACTCCTGGCCTCAGGTAGTCCACCTGCCTCAGTGTCCCAAAGTGCTGAGATTACAGGCATGAGTCACGGCACCTGGCCACTTTTTTTTTTCTTTTTCGAGACAAGAGTCTCGCTCTGTCACCCAGGTGGAGTGTGGTGGTGCGATCTCGGCTCACTACAACCTCTGCCTCCCAGGTTCAAGCAATTCTCCTGCCTCATCCTCCCGAGTAGCTGGGATTACAGGTGCCAGCCACTATGCCCAGCTAATTTTTGTATTTTGGGTAGAGATGGGGTTTAACCATGTTGGCCAGGCTAGTCTCGAACTGTTGACCTCATGTGATCCGCCCACCTCGGCCTCCCAAAGTGCTGGGATTACGGGCGTAAGCCACTGTGCCCGGCCTGAATTTACTGTTTTTAAGTGAGCAATTTGGTTGTATTTAGTAAATTCACAATGCTGTACAACCACCACCTGTATCTGGTTAAAAACATTTTCATCACCCCAAAAAGGCACCCCACCCAATAGCAGTCACTCCCCATTGGTCCCTTCTCAGGGCCCCCAGCAATCGACCTTCTCGATATATAGATTTGCCTGTTCTGGACATTTCCTGTAAGTGAAATCATACAGTCCTTCTCCTTTTGTGTCTGGCTTTTTTCACTCAGCATCATGTTTTCAAGGTTCACCCACATCACAACATGCATCAGCACTTCCTTCCTTTTTATGGCCAAATAATATTCCATTGCATGGATATGTCACATTTTGTCTGTCCATTCATCTATTGATGGACATTTGGGTTGATTCCACCTTTGAGCTGTCATGAATTGTGCTGCTGTGAAGGTTCGTGTACAAGTTTTTGTTGGGAGTCCCTGTTTTCAATTCTTTCGAGTCTGTGATCCTGGTCTTTGATTCCCTCATTACACTGCCTGCCAAATATACAGCCAAATTGTATGCAACACTGTTGGAAGGACACTGGTGGGAGGGACTGTCCTGTTACTTCTTAGTTCAATGCGTGTCCCACAAGGTGGCGCCCACACTTAGGAAGCTTCTCCAGGCTGAAGGAAAAGCTCTCTGTGCCCTCCGTGCAGCCATAAGTGGAGCCTCTACCCAGAAGCAGTGGCTTTACACCTAATACTCCTGTGATTAACGCATATCCAAATACCCAGAGAGATTAGGTGGTTCATCACCTGAGAGCTTTGTTTTTACTTCAGACAGCTGCTTAAGGTTCTAATGTCACTAAAAGTGCAAGGAGATTAATGTGTCTAGGATGTCAAAATCAACATGATAGACATTTCTTCATAGCTAATATTTCCTTTCTTATCCGTTGGTTAAAAGAGCCAATTCTCTCACAGTTACAGTGAGTACAGCAGTCAAGAAATATTATATTTCTCTACTTTTTCCAATTCACCCCTACCAAGGGTCTTTGCAGTATTCTTTTCTTGTATTTTGTGGTTTTTTCAGAGATGGGGTCTCACTCTGGGTTGCAGTGAAGTGGCACGATCACAGCTCACTGCAGCCTCGACCTCCTGGGCTCAAGTGATCCTCCTACCTCAGCCTCCAGAGTAGCTGGGACCACAGGCACACATCACCACACCCGGCTAATTTTTCTATTTTTTTGTAGAGATGCGGTTTCACCATATTGGCCAGGCTGATCTTGAACTCGTGGGCTGAAGCAAATCACCCACCTCAGCTTCCCAAAGTGCTGGGATTACAGGCATGAGCCACAGTGCCTAACCTAAAATATTCTTAAATGATGTACTCTCCATACACAGAAAATCTTCCTAGAAGTAATCTCATCCTATATAATGAGATGAGGGTTAAGCTTGTGATAAAGTTAGGCATAAGGAGGGTATCACCCTAAATCCTGAGTAGTTAAAGAGGAGTTTGCTGTAGTTTGGGGAGTATATTGAAAATACGTAGTCGGCCGGGAACGGTGGCTCACGCTTGTAATCCCAGTACTCTGGGAGGCAGAGGTGGGTGAATTACCTGAGGTCAGGCCTTCAACACCAGCCTAGCCAACATGGCAAAACGCCGTCTCTACTAAAAATACAAAAATTAGCCGGGCATGGTGGTGCATACCTATAATCCCAGCTACTCAAGAGGCTGAGGCAGGAGAATCGCTCCAACCTAAGAGGCAGAGGTTGCAGTGAGCCAAGATCATGTCACTGCACTCCAGCCTGGGCGACAGACTGAGACTCGGTCTCAAAAAATAAAATAAAATAAAATACATTGTCAAGACTGTCAAATCACAGAGTGGTGTTTTACATGATGGTAGAGACTGCTGATTGGCCTCTTGAACCCAGCTTCCATTTCTTCTTTTTCTTATTTTATTTATATTTTGAGACAGAGTTTCACTCTTGTTGCCCAGGCTGGAGTGCAATGGAGCAATCCTGACTCACTGCAGCCTCCGCCTCCCAGTTTCAAGCGATTCTCTGCCTCAGCCTCCCGAGTAGCTGGGATTACAGGCATGCACCACTGTGCCCGGCTAGTTTTTTTTTTTTTTTTGTATTTTCAGTAGAGATGGGGTTTCTCCCTGTTGGTCAGGCTGGTCTGGAACTCCCAACCTCAGGTGACCTGCCCGTCTTGGCCTCCCAAAGTGCTGGAATTATAGGTGTGAGCCACTGTGTCTGGCCTCTGACAGGTATCTTGACTACAGGAAGATAGTGTTCTGGGTGGGAGACTCAAGAGGTCTGATTACTGAAGATACAGATCTCACTTAAACTGAGTAAACTGACATCTGGTTTCCAAATCAATCTATTATGAAATTGGCCAATGTCACTTTTATTTGGCCTGATCAAGTTTTTACTAAGAACTGAACTGGGCACAGTGGCTCATGCCTGTAATCCCAACACCTTAGAAGGCTGAGGCGGGAGGATCAATTGAGTCCAGGAGTTTGAAAACAGCCTGGGCAACATAACAAAACCCCATCTCCACAAAAAATACAAACATTAGCTCAGGAAGCTGAGGCAGGAGGATCTCTTGAGCCCAGGAGGTTGAGGCAGCAGTGAGCTATGATTGTGCCACTGCACTTCAGCATGGAAGACAGAGCAAGACCCTGTCTCCAAAAAAAAAAAAAAGTTGAGAACACTGGACATTCAGTGTCTCTTTTCTGGCTTACCTCTCCCCATCTTGGGCATCATGTTTAGGTTTTGTCTCTAGAGCACATCTCAGAGCCTGCTACGGGTAAACAGGCCAGAAGTTAAATGCATGAAACATTCAAGCACATTCTTATTGGTGTAATTAAAATAAAAAACTAAATGCATGAAACAGAAGCTGTTTACCCACAGCGGAGGAGGAGCAGAAATCATACCCAGTGTGCCACATCATTACTGTCTGCCAGCGTTTCCTTAGGCTATTTTATTATTTTTGTTGAGATGGAGTCTCACTCTGACTCCCAGTCTCGAGTGCAGTGGCACGATTTCTACTCACTGCAACCTCCATCTCCCAGGTTCAAGCAGTTTTCCTGCCTCAGCCTCCCAAGTAGCTTATAAGTGCCAGCCACCATGCCTGGCTACTTTTTGTATTTTTAGCATTGACAGGGTTTCACTATGTTGGCCAGGATGGTCTCAAACTCCTGACCTTGAGTGATCCACCTGCCTCAGCTTCCCAAAGTGCTGGGATTACCGGGGTGAACCACCACGCCCCGCCTTCCTTTGGTTATTGAGATGGACAAAGAGTTACCTAGTAAGTTGAGAGCAGCTTGTTTTTAA